TGGCAAAAGCTCAGGGCAAACTTTCTTCCTTTTAAGTAAATATAGATAACTGATTTGTCCTAAATTGCTACATGGCATGTTATGGACATGACACTTGGCAAAAGCTCAGGGCAAACTTTTTTCCTTTTAAGTATATATATTAATTATTTTCAAATTCAAAATTTTAAAAGAGAAACTAATTTTACCTATATTAACTGATAATGTCCTAAATTGCTATATGGCATGTTATGGACATGACACTTGGCAAAAGCTCAGGGCAAACTTTCTTTCTTTTAAGTAAATATAGATTATGGACATGACACTTGGCAAAAGCTCAGGGCAAACTTTCTTCCTTTTAAGTAAATATAGATAACTGATTTGTCCTAAATTGCTACATGGCATGTTATGGACATGACACTTGGCAAAAGCTCGGGGCAAACTTTCTTCCTTTTAAGTAAATATAGATGTCCTAAATTGCTACATGGCATGTTATAGACATGACACTTGGCAAAAGCTCGGGGCAAACTTTCTTCATTTTAAGTAAATATAGATATAGATATAGATTCCTTTTAAGTAAATATATATATATTGTAAAAGTAGAAAACTGAATTGTGAAAACTGTGAAATCATGTTACTGAGAATGTAGGACAGAAGTGCGTGAGTGAGGAGTTGAAATCGTGATGAGAGATCGTGGGATAGAAGCCGAATTTGTAGGATTGCTATTTCTAGGGCAAATAGGCGAAGGAAGGGCGTGAGTCTGAACTGCACGGTGATGTGCAATGCCTTGTTGTGACTCAACCCCTCTGGCGGCATCTCATCTTCGTGAAAAGTGATCTTGTGACCCCAATTCTTCTTTCTTATAAAAATATAGTTTCTTAAAAATAGTAGAAACTACTGGTTTAAAATAATATATCTATTTAATTGTTTTTAAATTCAAAATTTTAAAAAGAAAGTAACTTCACCTAAACTAATTAATGGCGTGGGATTGAAGCCGAATTCCCAATAAAACAGTAGAAAGTAGTGAGTCATAAAAAATACAGTTTCTTAAAAGGTTCTTTAATAAAATAATATACCTATTTAAATATTGTTAAATTAAAAATTTTAAAAAAGAAAGTAATTCCACCTAAACTAACTAAAGGCGTGGGACTGAAGCGCTACAATTTCCCAATAAAACATTAGAAGCACTGAATTTAAAAAAAATAATATACCTATTTAATTATTTTCAAATTCAAAATTTTGAAAGAGAAACTAAGTTTACCTATATTAATTATTTTTTCCTAAATTGCTACATGGCATGTTATGGACATGACACTTGGCAAGGACAAACTTTCTTCCTTTTTTAAGTAAATATAGATTAAATATTTTCAAATTCAAAATTTTGAAAGAGAAACTAATTTTACCTATATTAACTGAATTTGTCCTAAATTGCTACATGGCATGTTATGGACATGACACTTGGCAAAAGTCAGGGCAAACTTTCTTCCTTTTAAGTAAATATAGATTTAATTATTTTCAAATTCAATATTTTGAAAGAGAAACTAATTTTACCTATATTAACTAATTTGTCCTAAATTGCTACATGACATGTTATGGACATGACACTTGGCAAAAGCTCAGGTCAAACTTTCTTCCTTTTAAGTAAATATAGATAACTGATTTGTCCTAAATTACTACATGGCATGTTATGGACATGACACTTGGCAAAAGCTCAGGGCAAACTTTCTTCCTTTTAAGTAAATATAGATAACCGGTTTGTCCTAAATTGCTACATGGCATGTTATGGACATGACACTTGGCAAAAGCTCGGGGCAAACTTTCTTCCTTTTAAGTAAATATAGATTGTTAACCCCCAAACCGCAAAAAGAAAGATTCTAATATGGTGGCAAATGTTTATATTAGTTCCTAGCTCCGCCACTAACCATAATCGAAAAAGACGAAATTAATTCTGGTAAGTCATACAATAGAATTGATGCAGTAATAATTTGATCAGAAATCAACTGAACTTTTTAGGTGAATTCAAATAATATATTGATCTAGGACGAATATTAATTAAATAACCTGAACAAACTTACTTATAACTGAGGGGTAATTGTTGTTTGTTTGTTGTGGTCTTCGAATCATTCGTCTCACATTAGATGAGTTAAATGTGGAAGATTTCAAGCCAATTTTGAGCCAAATAGGGGCTTTTGTATCTATCTATACACGATTTTGGGGTCACAATTGAACCTATACCCACTTTGCAAAAAAGTTTACAAGCGTATCTACTTTACGATCAAATTCAGACTTATGTGTCGAAGTTATAAAAAAAATGCCTCAAGTGAAAAAATTGCACTTCAAATGCACTTAAGGCAAATAGGTCTGAAGTGCAACCAATGGTTTCATGCACTTAAGGCTAATAAGTCTGAAGTGAAAAGCTGTACTTCAGAGTAGAAATGGCATGGGGTAGCCACTATTTAAGGTGGTATTTATTTTTTATCTAGCAATCCTAATGTTGAGCAAAAATAGCCACTACCCTATTAAAATTAATATGAAAAGATATTTTTACCCTTTCTTCCCTTACTTTTCTTCCCAAACCCTCGCTTCTCTCTCTGCGTGCCTTTTCCATAATCCAAAATGAATGTTTGCCTTATCAAAAGATGGCAATACTTTTTTTTTTTTTTTTTTCTTTCAAGCAAAGAATGTTGGTGGCCTTGAATTTGTAGGAAGTGGTCGAACACAACGTAGCTTAGAAATCATTGAACGATTCAAAAAGACTAGATGCATGTTTTTTACAGAGGAGTGAAGAGCGGTTCGTCCAGTTGGCATGTGTTTCTCTTAAAATTCAGCTTACTATTCTAGCATCTTTCTAATTCTTTTTGTTGTTTTCTAGGTCTTGTCCCAAATCCCAATTCAGCTTATACAAGAGAAATCCATTTACTCCCATGGATTTTTTCTTTCACAACGAAAGATCAAGACCTAACTGGCTTCCATGGAAGTTTCTTTAATCTTTAACGGCTGAAGGTTTAAGTTAACGGAAATCAAAAGTGATCATTTTTATAGAGGACTACATATGTGTTAGGGCCATATTTAAAGGACTGTGTAAACCTACTCTCAAATTATTTATATCATTTTCTCTCCACAGCTTGGTCCGGAACTTAGAATTACAAGTTCAAAAGTTAAAGACACTTGGTCATGAACTTAGACTAACAAGCTCAAAAGTTAAGGACAATAGGTCCTGAACTTACAGTTACAAGTTCAAAAGTTAAGGACAATAGGTCCTTAACTTTGATTTCCAAGTTCAAAAGTTAAGGACATGTAACCTTGAAGTCCTGAACTTAGAGTTCCAAGTTCAAAAGTTAAGGACATGTAGTCCTGAAGTCCTGAACTTAGAGTTACATGTTAAAAAGTTAAGGACATGTAGTCTTGAAGTCCTGAACTTAGAGTTTCAAGTTCAAAAGTTAAGGACATGTAGTCCTGAAGTCCTGAAGTTAGGGACATGAGCAGAAGGGTATTTTCGTCCGGGCAGTTAAAGTTTATTAAACCAGTGGCTAAAGACTAAAGACATTTAAAACACTGGCTTTAAAATAAAGACATGAGCTGTTAGTGGCTATTTGTGCACATCGCCGTGAAAAATTGCACTTCAAATGCACTTAAGGCCAAAAGGTCTGAAATGCAACAAACGTTTTCATTCACTTAAGGCCAATAAGTCTGAAGTGAAAATTGCCCAGAAACGAAAATTTGTTCTTTGAATTATAACAATCCAATATACGATTTAATACCTAAATCTACTCTAAATGAGCTCAAATTTGAAACATAGCCTCCAAATATCATCAGGAACAAACCCCAATCATCAATTTGTCAAAACAACAATAAATCTAATGAACCCATTTTACAATTAAGAAAAAGAAAAGAAGAAACCCTAAGCAATAGTAAAAATAAAACATCATAACAGCTCACCATTGTAAAACATCATAAACTACATTAAAATATATGCACAACCACCATATAAAATCATTGTCACCCGAAGAAGACGAAGAAGGAGAAGAAGAAAATGAAGTAGGAGGAGGAGGAGAAAGATGTCTGAAGTTATTCAAAAAGTAGGTACAAGTTAAGACTTTTTTTTAAAGTGAGTATAGATTAAATGAGGGCTACCAAATAAGACGCCCGTGCAATTTTTACTATTTGGATAGGCACCAACATTAGCGAATTTGAGTCAATATTAGACCAAATTGGTCAGAGTGAATGCCTTAAATGGGAATTGGCCCATCATCGCCAACATTGTGGAGCTGTTTTTTCTTAGAGTTCGTGCTACCATTTACTAGAAATGAAGAAGAACCACAAGTCGGCAAGATAGTACATAAAAAGAATATAGGGGAGGGCCAACGAACAATTCAATTCTCTGTATTCAATTTCTTTTGCATTTAGAAGTATTGCTATGTATATACATTGTACAGTACCCACATCCATAGTGTCAAATTCAATGGCCTTAGCCCCCAACGACCTCTTTTGTCCGAATCCCTCAAACCAATCAATTGGAGAAGGGGGGGACTAGGTTTATCCCTTTCACTTTCTCCAACATTTTCTAGAACTTAACCCCCCCACCCCATGGCTCCACTACAACAATTACAACTGGTAGTATTAAAATCCATTTCTGTTCCAGTAGTATTAGTAAAATTCCCAAGCTGGCCACTCCTTGGGCATGACAATGACCCCTAAAGCAAAGAGATCACTCTCCACCAATCAAGTTCACATTTGACTAATAAAACAATGCCTATCTTGTCAACGCTAAAATTCTAATCATCCTCGTCATAACATTCTTACACGACTCCAGAAAGAGAGGTCTTAGGGCGCTAAAATACATTCAAATGCGTGCATAAACCAAGTCTAAAACTCTTTGCTCAGCTATCAAAGTATAAGACCAACAATAGTCTTTTTCTTTATAATAAGTGCGTGCAAGAGAGTGCAAGCTGCAAAGTGAAAGTACGGAATCAAACTCAGCTTCATTAGCGCCTAATAAAGAAATACGAATTTAACTTCAAACATATGCATTCATTTAGCACCCCATCCAACGTGAGATGAATTCATCTATTAGCAAAAGAAGTGAGATGTGTCTCACTCAAGTTTGTTTAGCGTGACAATCGAGTAATATAAATGCAAAACTTTGGCTTCTAGGTGCAGCAAAGGGTCAAAAGTATCTCAAAACATCCTCCAGGTGCAGCAAAAGGGTCAAAAGTATCTCACAACATCCTGCCCCTCAATATTGCTTCTGCTTTCCTTACCTGCTTCAGGGGTCCGATGATGAAAACCTGATCAAACGGGGGAGATTGGTGTTATACATATCAATCAACACCACAAATCCATATCAAACAAAAAGAAGCAAGCCATCATTCTAGTTAGTTTGCACTTTACTTCGTTTCCCATGCTAATATTACGTGCTAAAATGCAAGTCTCAGGCAGGCATTCATTTTATCAGAGCGAGGCGAAAAAACCCTGAGACTTTTTTATTTAATAGTCATGTCTTAGCGATTAACAAGATGCAAGTAATTCCTTCTTTTTTTTTTGAGATGGTAACCGATAACAAGATGCAAGTAATTCTAGTCAAAGTTTATTCTTTTAGTGATGAACTATAGTATTGTGAGTTGTTTTTTTGATTTGTTAACTTGTTGGAAGCACACAGTGATCGAGTTGTATTATGCAATTGTAAATTATTTCGATAAAGATAAAGCTCACAGTGATAGAGTTGTATTATGCAATTGTAAATTATTTCTATAAAGCTAAAAGTCATTTTTTGATTTGTCTAAAACTTAGTTGCATCTCAAACCAAATTAAATAATGAAAAGAGTAGTCTTTGAATAGAACTTTAAAAAGTATTTCAAGATTTCAAAGTCACTGATGACATTTCTTTGTAAGCTGATATTCCTCCTTTTAATGTTTGGGTTGTTTGGGATTGCTTCATATAAGTTTCACCCTATATTAGGTAACGCGCTGTCTAACGTCCCCACACTAATCACATAGACCAATGTGACTCTTTGGCTAGACACCAGCACCAATGTAAATTATCTTGCAAATGTAACAAAAGTAACGATATTGCTAAAAGTTTTTTTTCCTTTGAAATGGATGATATTGCTAAAATAAAGATAGTTGATGAATTTAGTGGAAGGGTCGGTGGGATCCCGGTCAACTTCCTTCCTAACAATGTATGTGAATGGGGATAAGTACACCAGAACTTAAGTGCTAATTTTGAACTGCAAACTTGTAAATGAATTGGCCTACATAATTGAGATCATAAGAGAGGAAGAAGTACATCGTATCCCTTCCAGATATGAATGACAATCTACTTCAGGTAATAATTCAAAAGTAAAGAGTTACATGTTTAAATTTACCAACCTTGTCTGGCGTCCCCTTTGATCCACCGATTAGGATTTCTGCCCTGCAAAATGTTTCATATTAGGACCCACTAAACCAGCAAACAAGAATGATGAGAGGAGAGAGTATTACTTGCATGATTCTTTGATTGACAAAATCGAGGACCCTTTTCTACCAATAACGCATCCCATTTTCCTGGCTGGCACATCAAGTACTGACAGAATCTCCTCTTCCAAAGTATCTCTTTCCACATTGAGGAACTCTGACAGGATGAATCACAGTTTAGCAGAAATGCACTAACATTTTATTGGTTAAGATTATCTCGCAATTTGATAATATGCAAACTTTCACATATTAAATTTTCAAAATTATGTCCTATTACAAATTTGTATCTCCAAAATAGGCTATGTCAGTCAGCCTTCCACCTACATGCATCACATCTGACACTTCTTGTGTTATACTTTTGATGGGGCAGCTTAGTTTTCCACTAACTTAGAGGTGATCAAACTAGGCAAAAATCAGGACGCCGCCGCAAGGCCTTAATATAGTTCTGAAGGATAAGAAACTTCTCCAATTACATAAGAGAATATCCAAACAAAATAACATGTGAATTCTGGTATCACTAAGTATTCATGGCCTTGGTGGAGAGCTCGAGATCACCTGGAATGGAAGGGATTGCTGGCCAATCCGCATATCCATTGTCACTTATGCAGAAGCACCGAGAACAAAGTGAACCACGAACTGCAAGTCTCCACAATGATTGTTCACTCAATTTCTCCATCATCTTATGGAATATGTATGGAAGAAAGCGAACATCATCAGCAGCCGCACGGACCATCAGCTCAGATAATGGTCTGTAAGTCCAAAACTGAGGATCCTGTAGAAAAGGAACTAAGCAATGTGATTCTACAAGGTACATAAGCAAAGACACCGTGCATAAAAGGGATATCTAAGCATGGAAAGAAGCTCCATATAGTTAATCTAATACAAAAATTAATTTGAGAAGTGAAAAGTTGCAGTCATGTATAACTGCGCAAAACCTGAAGCTTTGGGGCAAGCATGTTATCAAAATACAAGACCATTTAGTTGGGATCGGCAACTATTTTGAAGAGCACATACATAGTTAATTGGAGCAATAAACAAGAAAATCTTGTCAAAGAACTCATCCCTTGCCAACTCTAAATACTTGGTGATTATTTACCCATAGCAGGGATTTGGGGGATGGCTTTCTTTTTTTCTCCTAATTATTCTTTGGTTTGGGGGTGGGGTTTTCTCACTGTGTTAGTTCCTGAAGACTACTTGTTGCCAGGTGCCTACTTGGTAATTCTTTTTACATATAATTCATCTTGTTTTTCGACTACCAAAGTCTTTGAGAACCCCTTGGCAAAAGGGTCAAAGAACTTTCTCAAAATGATCTTTTCTCCGATAAAGCTATTTAACTGTGGTCTGGGAATGATAACCAAGGATGCATGTTCCACATGGAAGGCATGTCAACTGAAGAAAGAAATTGGTAAAACAGAATCCAACCTCCCTCAGAAGGGAACGGACTTCTTTTTTCTCGACATATGATATACCTGCAATCACATAAAAGAGATAGAAAGGAAAAGGAAAGCCAATTAGCAACTATATCTCTCCATGAACTTCTTTTTTACAACCTAGAAGTTTTCCATAGCAAGCTTTTTCTAGTCATGAGCATCATTAAAGTTCATTGCATGCCCTAAGTTTTTATGAGCAAAAACTAAAGGCAGAGAGAAGAGGTGGTTAGAGTTACAAGTTCCACTGGACGTGCAAATATAGTTGAGGTTATATTGTCAGCATTAAGGAATCCTTGCTGTGCACCATAGAATTTTTGCTTCATTTATTTTCGCTCTTTACATTTTGAAGTTATGAACTAGCCAGAATTTTTTTGATTTTCCTTAGATATTCTTCTTCCTCCCTTCCCCACCTCACTCCTCCCAACTAATTACATTACATGTATACCATGACAACCCAAAATATGCAAATTAATTTGTTCCCTAGTCAAAACTTACAGAATAGTATCAATTTCCAATGCTATCTCTCTAAATGTATGGATAACAACGCAATGATGAAAAGACATTCCTCAAAGAATGAGATGCAGTTCAAAGAGGACACTATGTAATTCTTTTCCTTTCTCTTTTATGATTAAAAACCATAAGAGCAAGCATAATCAATGCCAGATCCGAGATAATGGCTGCCCTTGTTCAGCTGCCATTTTCAAAAATTACAAGAATTGATATTGTTGACCAAAATCCATAACCAGTGACATTTGGATATTTTAAAGATCTTGCTTCTCAAAACCAAATCAAAACATTTCAGGAATCAAAACAAAACCAAACTTAGCTGGTCATCCTGCAGGAGTATTTGCATTTAACCACTCAACATTCATATACTCGGTGCAGTCACCACATGGAAAAGATAAATAGAAACTGAACAGGGACATAGTACCACAATAGCGTGGATCTGCAAGAAGGCGCACAAAAGAGATATGGTCATCTGGTGCCCTCTTCTTCCCCAGCTGTTCCTCTATCAGATAATATGCTATCTGTACAACATAGAAAAGTAAACAGTCACCGAGTAGAAAATCAACTTTGTTTTGCTGTTGGAAGAAAGTTAATGTTCAGGAGTGCTTTACATTAAATAAACCATATCTGGAATAAAGAATCAGTGGAAATGATTTATTTTATCACACAAGATAGATTTTTACTGCACTATGGAAGATGTTAACATCATCGGCAGCAACTAAAGGAAAAGCCTCTCATTAATGGCTCATGTTCAGTCCTACTTTCCAAAATACTAATGAAGACGATATCATCGATCTGATGTCAAATCATCATATAAACGTCCAAAAAATAAGATTTCATCCGTTGAGCTTCTAAATAAGATACCAACTCCAATCAGTTAGAGGTCACAAAAAGTGGTGCAGTAAATTAAACAAAATATAGCAAGAATATTATCTAGCGAGGCAGTGTAGAAATCAAAACTATCATGGCTGGGAAATCAGCACAATCCAGGTGAACAATAATAAGAAAGATATCTTACACATGAGGTGGTAGAAAGGAAAACATGCAATGAGTATGCAAAGGGCCCGGTTAAGCAGCAAGAGAGTAATGTCTGAATCACTTACAACTTTCGTTAAAAGGTATCTAACAGGAGAAACTAGTAGCCAATAGCTTAAAAGAAAGTACCAGAAGCTAACCTGGGTATCCATAACATTGTGCAACTTGATATCAAACTGATAGTATAATGCCTGAAAAAGAAAGAGGAATTATATGTGACAAAAATGATACAAGAGGGAAAAGAGAAACACGATTAGGAGGCTAAAAGAAGTTCTATAAGACCTCACTATCCCGTTTGCAGTCGTGAATAACTTTTGTGACATACATAGACTCAAGAGCAGGCTTACAGGCATTAATCAACTTTTTCCCACCACGAATTGCATCAACTAGGTAAATAGCATCCGGAAAAGCAAGCTGTCAATTTAAATGAGGAAAGGCCAACTAGAGGGTGAATAATATGGTCAAGCCCCACTCAAAATTCTATGATAAAACTATAAACTAGTGAAACTTAGCATGGAATCACCATCCAACGCCAAAACAGTCAATTTACACATCTTGCAATTTGTACACTAAAATATTGGATTTAGGACGCAGAAAAGATAATCTTTAACCAATGCTCAAAATGGTCGAGCTTGGGTTGATAGGGGGCTTGCTACAAGCCTTGACATATGAAACCCGAGCACTAAATCCATTAATTTGAAAAAAAGCAGGTAATGAGTTTGATTTGGATGCACAAAGTCTAAAAGATGATTATAGCTATGTCATTGTCAGGCAAGGGAAGTTTAGGAGATAATTCTCTGAATTCGGTAACTAATATCTATTGGGTTCTTTTTTGCTTGCAAGAAAACAGATATTCAACTAAAGTTACTCCTAATAGACTCACACAAAGCTACTATTGAATAACATCAGAATACTAGCAAATCAAGTGAGGCACAAAGTTGGAATATACTCGGAACACGTAGGAATTGACAAATACCTGCACAATGCAGAGAGTTCCATATCGACAGAGGTCAACACCCTCGCAATCAAGTCCAACAACCAACTCATTTTTTGGGGAAGGGTTGAGAAATGTTGCTGGAAGTTGAGATTCATGGGTGACGATAAAAATGGGTACTGGTTTTAGAACTACTTCATGATCGACATGCCGCCTACCTGCTCAAATACATGATTAAGTGATAAGAACATTAACCTGTAACTAAACTATTACAGAATACACATAAAAAGCGCAATGAACTAAATGCCCCGATTGGAGCCCTAATCACATCCCAAAACCAGCTAGGACAGTAGACGGGTTAGAAAATAGTAGGCACACATAATTTTACCCTAAGTTAACAATATCAACATAGTAGTAAAACTAAATGTTGGGCATAAAAGACCACCTGAATTGGAGGACGGTAGAGGAATGTAAGTTTGGCGAGGACTAGGTGCTAAAGCCATAAATTGAAAATTTGAAATTACCACCAGAGCAACAATCAATTTTAACATCAAAAACCTTTTTTGTCTATGATTGGATATTCATGTTCACAAATACTGCTGTTGTTGATACTTTTATTCAATGGATATAGCAGCAGTGAAGAGGCTATAAAGACCTGCACAACGGTACAATGCGGCGTCTCTGCTCAGGGCATGCGCCTTTTGCTTGATACTTTTGCCGTACTCTTTCTGTTCCTCTCGGGCGGAGCCGTCTGCGTGCTGTGCCGTTGTTCTGACACTTTGTGGTATATTGGAAGTTATATAAGAATGGCAATGCCTTCTTTTTAAAAAGGATTTTATTCTAAAAGTATAAATGTTCTTTTTCTTTTTGCAAAGTAATACTCTTAATTAATGTGATGAAGAAGGTTTTTTTTTTTTAATGTTGTAAGGTTATTAATGTCACTTGTTATGAAAAGTTAACATGTCACCCGATAATATATAAAAAAAATTATAGTACATAATTTTTTTTTAAAGTTATAAAGAATGCTAGGATATAAAAATTTGAGGAGTATCTAAGTTATAGACACAAATAATACTATTTTTTATGAAGAGTTATCTATTGTTGTAAGTCAATGTAAACAACCTATACATTTTGTGTGCACATAATTTGGGCTCTTTAAAAAAAATTACTTAAAGATTAATATGTAATGTATTTTACACCATAGTACTCATGAAGAATTATCCCTCAACAAAATTAGTAGTTCATTTTCAATTATTTGTGGCAATACAATAATTATATTTTACTTATTGCGTTCTTCCCTTTGCATCCCATCCATTTCTTTTTATTCCGTAACAAAAATCACCAAAAGCAAAAGATAAAACTTAGGAAACTTAAATATATTTCATCCGGTCTTCTAAATTCAAGTTCATTTCTAATAGTTCTTGATTTCGCCATTGTTAATTAAATAATTAAAATTTGAAAACGATGGTGATGTTGAGCTACTACTTCATTTTGATGATACTAGTATTAATAATGCGTTATGTGGGGGCATTGTTAAAGAATGTTAATCATATCAAAGTACAATTTATTTGTTTGAGCAAATAAGATCACACGATTTAACAAAATCATAACTGTCGTTTTATCTCACAACAAGTAATAAAAATATATGTATTAAATTAAAAGAATTATATAATCATCGTATAGATTTTAGTGAAACTCAAATAAGAAGATTAAAAGATAATTAAGAAATTAATATAATATATATTAAAAACGTGGTTAAGAAATTCTAGTAATACTATCAAGCGATAGTGGTGTACTCGAGTAGGTCCCTTAATTTGACTTGGGGTTTTTAGTAAGGCCCTTTGGGAACTAATAAAAACTTGAGTTTTTCAAATGTTTTGATTTGAAAACATTTGGTAAGGCGTGATGATTTGCGTATCAGTGTGCATAATTAAATTAATAACATTATTAGAAGATATGTAACTTTAGGCGAGGCGTGCATGACGAAGAAATTTATTCGCACTCAGTATGTATACCAATTAATGAATATCAGACATGTTTTATGTTTACACACTTTTATCACTTAATCATAATTAAAATATACTTACTCGTCGATTTATGACTTTTCCAATAAAACTTGTTTGATTTAACGGACTAAGATAGAATGTAATTGACCTTTTGTAAACTTGATTGTAAATTAATTATAACATGATTGTATTCGTTCCAGGATTTGAATTGTATAACATTTTCCAAACCTCAAAGGCCTTCCATGAGCCCGTTTGGATTAGCTGATTTGAAGTAGCTGATAAGCATTAGGTGCTGAAAAACACTTTTAAGTGCTGAAACTGATTTAACAAATAAGCAGTTACGTGTTTGGATACAAGTGCTGAAATTGATAATAAGCTGCTGCAGTATTTGATAAAAAAGTGCTGATAAGTTATTTTTCTGTTAAAATGACTTGAATAACCTTAGAATTGTTTACACTTATAAAGGCGTAATTTCTTCAAAATTTTAGATTTCAGATCGATTCAAATACAAAATATTCTATTTGTCATTTTATTTTAAATACAATTATGATTAGATAAAGTAATTTTTATGATAAATATAATTTATTTTATGATAAGCATATAGTCATAAGTTATTTATAATTAATAAATTGACATAAGTTTCTCAGTAAAAAATAAATCTAAATATAATAAAATATTTGAAGAGAAACACCGTCTTCATCACCACAACACTTAGAAAGCAATACACCAAAAATTTGATATGTCCTCGTTTATTACATACAGTTCAAAGATTAATACACAATCACATAGATACAAATATGCAAAGGAATAGAGAATTTGCTTACCTCAAATAGTTAATGACAATTGCAGACATGAAGAGGCGGGGGTCTAGGTTGAAAAAATACGTGAGGCAGTGGGTATCGATGTAGGTGTTTTGTTTTGAAAAGGAATATTTTAGGGATAAAATAGTAAAAATCTTGGTCAAACTTAAAGTGCTTATAAGCTAAAAATTCATAAGCTGGGGGTGACCAGCTTATGGCTTTTGGCTTATTTTTGGCTTATAAGCACTTGGCTTATAAGCACTTTAACTTTACCAAACACGTAGATAAGTCGAAAAGTGCTTATAAGCTAGTTTGACCAGCTTATAAGCTTAGCCAAACACCCTCTATGTCTTCCCCTATTTGCCCGTCGTGTCGACTAGCCAACACATTAAGTAGATAACAGCTTGTTTGGATGGTTGTTACCTATTGTATCGTATTGTTACTTTAAATACAATGTTTGTTTTGATTGTTACTTAAATTTTATTATATCGTATCGTTAAATCCATCGTTACGTAATGATGAAATGTGCCACTTTATGTAACGACCGATTTGGTGTGGTCGCGTCGTTTCCTTGTGTTTTTTTCTCAATCACCCCTCATTATTATTATATAATTTTATTTTATCATTTACCCTACCTTTTTATATACCGTATCATAATTTTTCTTTATAATATTGCAAGTATATTCATCATATTACTGGTGTATGATACTATGAAACGATGGTAAAACGACACAATCCATCCAAATATTGTATTCATCAAACGATATAGTACAGTACAATACAATACAATACGATACATTATGAAACGATATGTAATAACCATCCAAACAAACTGTAAAAGATAATCAAGAAAATTATTCAAATGATCTTTTCAATCCCTATTCCGTAGTATGATTGCGATACTCTCAATTTCATATCTTGCCTCGAGAATTATTACATATATACTTGTATGGGTCAAAATTTGGACGACCACGACCATTGACGACCACGACCACTGACGAACACGACCAACAGCGAGATCCTCGTAGCTCAATGTAGGTTCGATAGGGAGTGTTAGGAATATTCCTTCGAATATTCCCTGTAATACGCTTTTTAGGATCTAGAAGCGATCTGTCCCTTATATATAGTGAGAGAACAATCTTGTAAAGGGGGCTCTTTTTTTTTCAACTTTTCTCTAAGATAGAACATTAATTGTAATACTTTTCTAAAAAGAACTACCAGCATTTCTAACGTTCAATCTTTGATCCTCAGAAGATCAGGAGACATTATCCGTTGTGTTCATCTTATACTCTTTTTGTTCTAGAGATTATTATGCTTGCCTAAGATTTACCCCATATTTTCTTTGATTGATCTATTCAAAAAGGATATAATATCTTTTGAGTTAAACAATTTGGTGCCGTCTGTGGGAATTTCTATAGACAAGATTTTAGTTTCATCTAGATCCTTGAAAGAAGTAATCGCCTCTTCATAGCCTCACAAAGCTCAGCAATGGCCGGAAAGGGAGAAGCAAGATTAAAGGCGATAGTCGGCATCACGAACAACCTGCTAAGCTCCATCGACGAAGCTGGTAGGGAAAACGATGAAAACGTAACGCCCAGTGCTACACTTGAGGGAGATACCATGTCCACCCCTCACGAAATCGTGACTATCTCACGTGAGAAGGAAACCTCAACATCCGCAGCAGGAGAAACACCACTAGCTATGAAAAGGCTATTAGAGGAATGGTTGACAAACACCTTGAGCAGCATACTCGACAAGCCCACTCAAAGGAACATCGGAGGCACAATACTCGCAGAAACCGCAGCTATCGCCGGTGAGCCGGAAACTCCACTCACAGGTAACACTCACATTGTCGTTGATGCAGGTAATGATGCACTCACGACCATTCTAAAGAAAATGGAAGATATGGAAAAAGAGAACAAAACAATCCGCGATCAGATAAAGGAACATTAGGAAAGGGTCGATAAAATACCGGGCGCTCCGAAGTTGCTACCAAAACGTGATGCCGTCCGATTCGTCGAGCAGCCGTACAGTGAAGGAGCAGCCCCCCACAGTATCCCAAAACATTCAAAATGCCTCCATATGTGAAAATATACAACAGCACTACGGATCCGGAAGATCACCTAATCCACTATGTCACCGCGGTAAAAGGCAACAATCTGTCGAAAGAACAAGTTCCCTCGGTACTATTGAAAAAATTCAGCGAAACTCTGACAGAGGGGAGCGTTGACATGGTATTCCCAACTGCCAGCGCGGTCAATATCGATATTCGAAGAAATGGCAGCCAAGTTCGTTACCGCTCACGCGGGAGCGAAAAAGGCGAAAGCCAGGGTAAATGACATCTTCGCCGTTAGGCAAACGACGGGCGAAGGACTTCGGGACTTCCTAGCCCGATTCAACAGGGTAAGAATGAGCCTACCAAACATTTCGGAGGGAATGGCGGTAGCAGCCTTCCTAAATGGGTTATACAGAAGCGGGTCGAAAGCAACCAAGAAATTGCTAAGCAGACTCATGAAATACCCTCCCACCACGTGGGAAGAAATCCATAATGCCTATTGCGCTGAAGTAAGAGTAGATGAGGAAGACTTAAATGGGCCGCTCCAACGACTAACATCGGTCCAGACCGAAACAAGGAAAGAGCACCACAACGATGGTCGAAGGGATCAACTATCCCGTTTCAATCGAGAAAGGCATCAGCCTTACATCCGGGCATCCATCCCGCCCCCACCACGACAAGCAGACATCACGTCCCGACATACCGGGCCATACCGAAATGAAAGAGGTACGCCTCCATTGCTTTCTGCTCATAACTTTTGCATTTCTCCTTCAGAAATAGTATACGCACTAGAAAAGCTAGGCACAAAGGTGCAGTGGCCGCAAAAGATGAAGTCAGATCCAAGCACCCGGAGATCGAACATTCTGTGTGAATTCCACCAGGAAAGGGGACACAAGATCGAAGACTGCATAGGTCTGCGACAGGAAGTGGTAAGAATGTTAAACCAGGGGCACCTAAAAGAACTACTGAGCGAACGAGGACGAACCAACTTCGCTCGTGGACGCGATCAACCTCAAGGACCACCAAAACCACCTTCACCAGCCCGTACCATACAAATGATCATTGGTGGTGGCAACGATAAGGTAATCAACCATGTGAAATTCACCACCACACACAAACTCAAGCGAACAATCGCCCATGAACGGTATGACGACCTCGAAGATAGTATCATCTTCGATAAGTCGAATACCAACGGTTTGTCTTTCCCTCACTATGATGCTTTAGTTATAACTTTACGTATTGCTGATACCAATGTAAAAAGAATAATGGTGGATGATGGAAGCGGCGCGTGTATTATCCATCCACGGGTCCTCTCACAGATGAGACTCGAGGATAAGATAGTACCGCGTTGCATAACACTAACGGGTTTTAACAATGCAGTGGAACGGACCTCGGGAGAAATAATGTTGCCCGTTCTAGCAGTAGGGGTCACCCTGGAAACAAAGTTTCACGTCATGAACCAAGAAACAGCCTACAACGCTATCATGGGGCGCCCATGGATACACGCCATGCGAGTCGTCCCGTCAATTTTCTACCAAGTGGTTAAATTTCCCACCCCGTGGGGGATATTTACCATCCGAGGCGAACCACGCACCGCCCAAGAATGCTATCGAATCGCCCAAGATTGCACACATACCCAACAACTAAAGGGGGCAAGTGCAAAAGCATAGTAATCAGCCATATCGGGAACCAAACCCGATATACAGATAGAGGCCATCAAAGACCCAGATGTCGTAGAAGCTTGCAAGGCAACCATAGAAGATCTCGATCCCGTTCAGCTAGACAGTACCGACAACACGAAAAAAGCTTATATCGGACATAACCTCTCAGAGCCAGGTAAATTTCATGAGTTCTTAACTAACAATGCCGATTTATTTGCCTTTTCCCACTCAGATATGCCAGGAATCCCAAAGGATATCGCCACGCACAGGCTGAATGTCGACCGTCTTTACCCGCCAGTGCGACAAATGAGGAGGAAGTTCAACACAACGATTAACGATGCAGTCAGCGAAGAAGTTGATAAGTTGCTCGCTAACGGCTCCATCCGAGAGTCAAAGTATCCCCAGTGGGTCGCCAATGTGGTCATGGTAAAAAAGAAGAACGGGAAGTGGCGGATGTGTGTCGATTTCATCGACCTAAACAAAGCATGCCCAAAGGATTCTTTTCCGTTGCCACATATCGACCAACTCATCGATTCAACGACAGGGCACGAACTATTGAGCTTCTTGGATGCCTATTCTGGCTACAACCAAATTCTAATGGCAGACGAAGACCAAGAAAAGACCACCTTCATCACTCACCAAGGGACATACTGCTACAAAGTTATGCCGTTCGGACTCAAAAACGCAGGGGCAACGTATCAAAGGTTAGTCACCAAAATGTTCAAAGAACAACTCGGAAAGACTATGGAGGTCTATATCGGTGACATGTTGGTGAAGTCAAAAAGGAAGGAGGACCACATTGATCATCTGAAAGAAGCCTTCAAAATATTGAGACGATATGGGATGAAATTAAATCCCGAAAAGTGCGCCTTTGGCGTAACCTCAGGAAAATTTCTTGGCTTCTTGGTATCGCAAAGGGGCATTGAGGTCAACCCGGATCAGATCAAGGCCATGGAAGGAATACCAGAGATACTGACCAGCAAAAAGCAGGTATAAAAGTTGACAAGGAGAATAGCTGCCCTGTCGAGGTTCATCTCGCGGTCATCGGACAGGTGCCATAAGCCATTCCACTAAAATGCTCTTTATTTATTGAGCTTTCTCAGTGTTGGTTTGAATCTTTAATGTATTAAGGAAAGACAATAGGCTGCAATGGACTGCCGAATGTGTTGACGCCTTAAGAAAACTGAAAGCGTACCTGTCCTCACCACCATTACTCGCCAAAACAGATCCGGGCGAGTGCCTCCTGGTGTGCCTAGCAGTCTCCGAAGTCGCGGTAAGTGCGGTCCTGGTACGTGAGAACGAAGGTACGTAATCTCCAATTTATTATATCAGCAAAACCTTAGTCGATGCAGAAACAAGGTACCCCCACCTTGAGAAATTAGCCCTTGCATTAGTCATAGCTTTACGGAAGCTCAGACCATATTTTCAATGTCACCCCATAAAAGTGGTGACGACCTTCTCCCTCAGGGGCATCCTACACAAACCCGAACTATCGGGCAGGTTGGCCAAATGGGCCATAGAATTAAGCGAGCACGATATAACCTACCAACCGTGAACCGCTATAAAGTCGCAAGTGCTCGCTGATTTCGTCGCCGACTTCAGCGCAGAAATATTGCCTGAAGTAGAGCAGGAAGCGCTCCGTGCTTCCTCACACCCTGACCTCTGGGTCCTCTACACCGACGGTGCATCTAATGCCTCAAGATCGGGACTGGGACTCGACCTCGAAGTCCCTACGGGCGAAGTAATTTGCCAGTCCATACGGTGCCCCTAAATGACTAACAACGAGGCCGAGTATGAAGCTGTGATTGCAGGATTAAAGTTAGCCCTCGAATATGGCGCTCGGCGGCTCGTACTCGATTGCGACTCTCAACTCGTGGTGAACCAAGTCACTGGGACTTTCCAAATCAAAGAACAAAGATTACAAAGATACTAGTCAGAAATTCACAAACTGCTACAAGAATTCGACGAATGCCGCCTCGACCAGATACCTAGGGCGCAGAACATCGAAGCAGACGGTCTTGCCAAACTAGCAGCAGCTACCAGAAATATAAACAAGGAAAACGTAGTCACCCTCCTCCACTCCTCAATAGACCAAGTCGAGGTACATTCTGTAAACTTAACTTGGGACTGGAGCAACAATATCGTAACATATTTGCAGGAAGGGACGCTCCCACAAGACAGGAAAGAAGCTAAAAAACTCTAAATACAAGCGGCCAGATACAACCTCATGAACCATGATCTTTACAAAAGAACGTTCGGCAGCCCCCCGGCCAAATGTCTTGGGACAAATCAGACAAGGCGAGTACTAGAAGAAGTACACGAGGGCCACTGCGGCGCCCATACAGGAAACCACGCCCTAGTCCGATGCCTCATCCGTGCAGGGTACTACTGGCCCACCATGAAAAAAGAGGCTTCAGATTACGTCAAAAGGTGTGAAAAATGTCAAAAATACGCCCCAATAATACACCAAGCAGGAGAACTCTTACATTCCGTCATTTCGCCATGGCCATTCATAAAGTGGGGGATGGATATTGTCGGACCCCTCCCCGCAGGACGAGGTAAAGTACGTTTTCTCTTAGTTTTAACTGACTATTTTTCTAAATGGGTGAAAGCAGGTGCATACACTCAAATACGTGAGCAAGAAGTTATCGCGTTTATATGGAAAAATATAATATGCCGCTTCGGCATTCCCAAAGAAATCAGCTGCGATAATGGGCCCCAGTTCGTTGGAAAGAAAACAATCGAGTTTTTCGAGAAATGGCACATCAAACGAATACTCTCCACACCCTACCATCCCCCCGGCAATGGCCAAGCCGAATCATCCAACAAAATGATTCTGAATATACTGAAAAAGAAGCTCGAGGACGCCAAAGGGCTATGGACCGAACTACTGCCGGAAGTACTATGGGCATATCGCACCACGCCAAAAACTAGCACAGGCGAGACACCATATTCATTAGTCTACGGGACGGACGCGGTCATACCCGTCGAATTCGGAGAGCCCAGTCTAAGATACTCTAATGAGAGCGGACCAAGTAATGACGAAAGCAGGTTACAAGACCTGGATGAAGTCGAGGAGCGAAGAGATATGGCTCACGTAAGAATGGTAGCCCAAAAGCAACAAGCGGAAAGGTACTATAACAAGAAGGCCAAAATACGACCTCTCAAGGTCGGAGACTACGTCCTCAAAGCTAAATCCCAGGTAGCGAAAGACCCCAATGAAGGAAAACTAGGAGCAAATTGGGACGGGCCACACAAAATCACAGCCGCAACAAACAAGGGAGCATTCCAGTTGGAGACAATGGAAGGAAAGCTACAACAAAATAATTGGAACATCGCCCACCTCAAATACTTCCACTTCTTAAAAGAGGTGCCGTCTAAGCTGTACTCTTTTTCCCTCATCCGGATTTTGTCCCAATCGGGTTTTCTCAGTGAGGTTTTTAATGAGGCAGCAAAGGAGACGCCTCGAGGCTCGAAGTATTATTCATTACCCCGCCCGGTGACAGGATCTCCAGGCCAAGTAATGAAGGGACTAGGCATAAATAGCCACTGTATTCACAGTATTCGCAAAGTCGACATGTACTTTCTACGGAAATGCAATCAAAATCTCCAATGTACGAATGAAAATTGCAATGGCCAAGGCCAATGACAAAAGCATGAGTTCGACTTGTAATCAAATCTCCAATATACGAAAGTAAAATCCCAAGGGCTAAGGCCATCGACGAAAAACGAGTTCGACTTCACTCGAACTACGACGGGATCCTACTTTGACGCTAGATCGAAAGTAACATCCCAATGGCCAAGGACATTGACGAAAAATGAGTTCGACTTCACTCGAACTACGACGGGATCCTACTTCGACGCTAGATCGAAAGTAACATCCCAATGGCCAAGGCCATCGATGAAAAAACGAGTTCGACTTCACTCGAACCACGACGGGATCCTACTTCGACGCTAGATCGAAAGTGACATCCCAATGGCCAAGGCCATCGACGGAAAAACGAGTTCGACTTCACTCGAACCACAACGGGATCCTACTTCGACGCCAGATAGAAAGTAACATCCTAATGGCCAAGGCCATCGACGAAAAACGAGTTTGACTTCACTCGAACTACGACGGGATCCCACTTCGACGCTATCTCGAAAGTAACATCCCAAGAGCTAAGGCCATCGCCAAAAGAGCAAAGGTCCGACCTCACCCGAAGCAAAATCAACTTAATAATTCGACAAGTACCAGGATACCATAAATGAAGCAAAGATCATCACAAAATCAACAAAACAATTCCCTCATCACAATAAAATATTACTTACACCTACCTTTACAACGGGCTCAAGTACGCCCCTACAAAATCCTACAACAAAAGTAAGTACAAACCAAAATATTACAGATCACCGCCGGGTTGATACGCATCTTCATAACAAGAGTCTGAAGCAAGACGGTTTGCATTATCGGAATTGATATCGTCCCCGTCGGGCGTAAGAGGATCATACCCGCATGCCTCACGAGCTGCACAAGCTTCGGCATGCACGCCCTGAAGCTCTGCTTAAGACTCCCTCCCCTCAGCATGAAAGGCCTTATAAACATCGAGCTTAGCCTCGGCATGAAGCCACAACTCATACAAACGACGAGGTATGCCAAGGCTGGCTGAAGCACGAGACATAGAAGGCTGCGAGTCCCGGCGCACGTCTTCCGCTCTCAGCGACACCACCTGCCCGGTCAATATAGGCAGCTCTGCCTCCAACTCCTTGACACGTCCTTCAAGTCTCGCCACCTTGAGCGCAGATGCTTCTTCCTCCTTGGTCCGCTCCAACCTATAGACGTGAAGGGTATCTTCCACCACTGCCGCTTCGGAAATGACGGTCGCCAATCTATCAGCGCTCATGCTCAGCTCGCTCTTAAGACCGTCGATCTCAGCCGCCTTCACACCCAATTCAGTGGTCAGGCTGGCTACCCTAGCTTGTAGATCGGTGTTCTCAGCCATCACCCCCTGCTCAATTCAAGCTCTTCTTCCTTAGCCTTGAGGGACGCTTCGAGTTTGCTATTACGGGCAACGACCTTCATGAGATCTTCGTCTCGCTCTCGCAGCTCCTCGACCTTGCGTGCCAATTGGTCCTCACTTTATTTAAGCCGTTCACGGAACAGTTGGAACTCGGGGTCCTGATGATAGATGTCGGCCATCGCACGATGCTTGGTGCGATACTCCTGATATTTGGAGAACATCTCATAGACGGCCGTCCTCTTCCTTTCCCGGCGCTCACGTTCGATCTCTATGATAAGGGTCTGGCACAACAAGAAAAAGTCAAAACAAAAGATAGACAAAAAAAAATAATAGCACGAACCCAACAACCAAATGGAAGAGAAAGTTATCTACCCGCAAGGCCATGCCAGCAACGTTCCGGGATAGTTCCATGTCGTTCATCGCTCTAAGAGCCTCGCTCTCGGGGGCGGCACTTAAAGGGGTTAGGACAGACGCCACCTGATCGCAGTTCGACAACATGTTATAATCCCCAGGGACAACGATATGCCGATCAGAGCCCTCCATCCTAACCTCCACATGAGTATGGCACTCTAAAAATTCACGAACATCTGCCGGGTCGACATTCGAGCCTGAGCCGTCGCCTTCGACTCGAAGGCCCCCTCCGATGTTAGAAGATGCACCACCCTCGGCGGAACGCACGGAACCACCTCTTAGGTACACCCCATCCGTTTGAGGAGACCTTCCCGCCGCAATAGCGTCGGCCATAAATGAGGGAACAGGTGGCGCCTGCCAAGCGCCCGTCTTACTCCTACCAGCGTCCACGACCACCTCTTCCCCGAGCTCTACTCTCCTCCTTTTTCTCAAAAATGACTCATCCCTATTAGAGGATTCGTCTGCGGGGTGATGGACCGACACGAAAGAGGTCTCTTCCCTCACGACCATCTCACGAGAAGGATCTCCTGTCTGTATCGTTTGAGTCCGAACCTCCCGAATGGACTCAGCCAGTATAAACTGCATCCTTGCAGCAGCAACGGCCTGTCGAAATGTAGGGACTGGAGCCCTAGCCTAGAAGCTCCTCGACCTGTTATCAAAAAGAAAGAAGTTGTAACAACATACAATGACACATAACCAATGAGTGATATAAGGGGAAACACTTACCAGACGAGACTCTCGGCCCAAAACGCTTTACGAAAGCAGCTCAGTCTCGAGTCTCCACTGCATGAGAGAGAAAATGAGCTACCCAATCCCTTATTCCTGCAATAGGGCGAGGTGGGCGTCCCATAGCTGCAAAAAAAGAGGTAAACAAACACTAAGGGGAATAAAGAAGAAACGACAGAAAAGGGGAGGAGAATAGAGAAAGTGGCGACACTCACGTTTATCATTCCACCACTCCGGGGGTGGTAGTTCCCAAAAAGGGGAATAAGTTAAGAATGTGCGTAGACTATAAAGACTTGAATAGAGCATGCCCTAAAGATTCATTCCCGTTGCCCAATATCGATCGCTTGATCGATGCTACGGCCGACCACGAGATCCTCACCTTCCTCGATGCCTACTCGGGGTATAATCAAATTCAAATGAACCCCGAGGATAGGGAAAAAACTTCGTTCATCACGAAATACGGTACGCACTGCTATAATGTGATGCCCTTCGGGCTAAAAAATACGGGAGTCACATACCAGCGCCTAGTTAATAAGATGTTCGAAAGCCAAATAGGCAATTCCATGGAAGTTTACATTGATGATATGTTAGTTAAGTCCCTACGCGTAGAGGACCATTTAACTCATTTGCAGGAGACATTCGACATCCTCAGAAGTTACAACATGAAACTCAATCCCGAGAAATGTGCCTTAGGAGTGGGCTCGGGCAAGTTCTTAGGCTTCATGGTGTCAAACAGAGGAATTGAGATCAATCCTGATAAAATCAAAGCCATCGAAGAGATTACGGCGGTGAACAATGTAAAGGCCGTACAACGACTGACTGGGCGAATAGCGGCTTTGGGCCGATTCATATCAAGGTCGTCGGACAGGAGTCATCATTTCTTCTCCCTGCTCAAAAAGAAAAATAGCTTCGAATGAACTCCAAAATGCTAGCGTGCTTTAGAGGAGTTGAAGCGATACCTGACGAACCCACCTTTACTCTACACCCAAAAGGAGGATGAAACACTATATTGAACCTGGCCGTGTCCGAGGTAGCGGTGTACTGGTTTGAGAAGAGCAAGGTACGCAATTCCCTGTCTATTATGTAAGTCGGACCCTAGGAGATGCCGAAACCTGGTATCCGCACCTGGAAAAGTTAGCTCTTGCATTAATAAGTGCGTCTCGAAAGTTAAAACCTTACTTTCAATGCCATCGTATTTGTGCTTTAACAACGTATCCTCTCCGAAGCATATTGCATAAGCCCGATCTGTCAGGCCGACTGGCCAAATGGGCAATCGAACTTAGGGGGTACGATATCGAATACCAGCCCCGTACGGCTATCAAGTCCCAAATTCTGGCGGATTTTGTAGCCCACTTCACACCTGCCCTCGTGCCCGAGGTAGAGAAAGAACTTCTACTGAAAACGGGCACATCTTCGGGGGTATGGACCTTGTTCACCGACGGCGCCTCGAACGTGAAAGGGTCCGGACTCGTTATAGTCTTGAAGCCGCCTACGGGCGGCATAATTAGGTAATCTATAAAAACTATGAAATTGACTAACAACGAAGCCGAGTATGAGGCTATGATTGCAGGATTGGCCAAAGGCCTAGGAGCAGAGGTCATCGAAGCAAAATGTGATTCCCTTCTGGTAGTAAATCAGGTAAATGGGAGCTTCGAGGTTCGAGAAGACAGGATGCAAAGATACCTAGACAAAATTCAAGTCACATTGCACCGCTTCAAAGAATGGACCCTGGTCCACATACCTCGAGGGCAGAATAGCGAAGTCGATGCCCTTGAAAACCTGGGGACATTTGTCGAGGAAGATGACTTACTTCCCGGGGCTGTCATTCAGCTATCCAAATCAGTAGTCGAGGAAGGCCACGCCGAGATCAACTCCACCAGCCTAATGTGGGATAGGAGAAACAAATATATCGATTACTTGAAAAGTGGGAAGCTACCCGCGGACCCAAAGGAATTGAGGGCTCTACGAACCAAAGCATCCCGATTCTCGCTCGACGAAAACGGAACTCTGTACAGGAGAACCTTTGATGGGCCTCTAGCAGTGTATCTGGGGCCGGGAGACACAAATTATGTGCTCCGAGAAATTCACGAGGGAACGTGCGGAAATCACTCTGATGTCGATTCCCTAATTTGAAAAATAATCAGAGCAGGCTACTATTGGGACAACATGGAGAAAGATACCAAAGAATTCGTCCGTAAGTGCGATTAATGCCAGAGATTTGTCCCAATGATTCACCAACCCGGTGAACAACTACATTCAGTCTTGTCGCCGTGGCCATTCATGAAGTGGGGAATGGACATCGTAGGACCTCTACCGAGCACCAGGTAAAGCACGATTTATTTTATTTATGACTGACTACTTCTCAAAATGGGTGGAAGCGCAGGCCTTCGAAAAGATAAGAGAAAAAGA